AAAAAATCATGCAAAATCAAAACCAAAGACAAAATAAACGAAACACAAAAGCAGCTAAAACTTGATGCAATACCGATAACCAGAACACCATTTGTCACCACGACCCTGTAGTGATCTTCTTCCCAAGAGATGTGTATCATAAATTAAACTTTCGAGTGAGCAGCCTTTGGTATGGGAATTCCTTTTCCGTCCAGAGGCTTGAGATCCCCTTGTTTTACTCCACCTTTACTCATCGTTTTCTTCCTTGGGGATAGTAATGCTGTGGCTGTTCTCATCTTGTTGCTCCCAAAAGTGTTAATCGCCGGTTTCACCACCCTCCTACGAACCGCTTTGTTCTTCTCCTGCTCTCCACCTGCCACCTCAAGTATCTCCTCTGCATTCTTATGCTCCTCCAACTCCCCGTAACCCGTTGTCACTGCCAATGCTTCCTCTTCCTGTTCTGCGAGCATCTCATCAAAATCCTCCTCAGGATTTTCTTTTAAAAACTCCTCTGAGTCCATGTCAATCCCCTTTTGTAATAAACATGCTCTAATCTCTTCCATATCCATCACATCCTCTTCTCCCAACATATTCTTCCCTTCTACCAGGTTCGATACCAACTGTAGACCGTTAAGTTCATCTGTAGGGTCTGAGATAACCTCCCTGCCCATAGCCTGTGTGTCATGAAGTTCCTTCTGAAATTCCAAAGAAGGTGGCTGAAGTTCCCCATCAATTTTGATCTCTCCCTCTTCGATCCCTTTGCCTATCTCTTCGTCTTTACTGTCCCCTTTTGTTGGTACCAGAACTCTCCCGTTCTGGGACGAACCTCGCTTATCTTCTATTCTAGTCTCCTCACTTCTTGAGTATCGCATCCTGGATCCATCCCCCTCTCCTCTATAGCTACCACGGTGATGAGTCGGATACCTATTTCCCCTCTCCGCTACCTTCCTCCACCTTGTGTCTGAGTCACCCACCATCTTGCCCTTCCCTTTGCCATAGTATTCTCTGCTCTCCTTAATTTTACCATAATTGCTCCCACTGCCATTTCCATTAGCTACAACTCCTTTGTAACTTCTGGCCCGGTCATCGTGTTTCCCTTCTTCATATCTTCCCGCTCCTCCATCCCTTATTTCTCTTCTCACCGGACTTTGCTTCGGACTCCTCTTGACTAGAGGACAAACCTCCCCTTTGTGACAAAGGCTGAAGCAATGATGACAGTATCCAAAAAGCTTCTCATATCGCAGGGTTACTAGTGCCTCCTCCCCATCATAGAATTGACCTCCTTTGAAGTCCACCATGGTTTCAAAACAGATCTCCTTAAAGCCATCCACCACCACATGGATACGCTTGTTATCCAAGTCCACATGTGTCTTCCTACCCAACGCATTGCCAATACTCTCATACGTAGGCACCGTCCTGAAATCCATAGGTACCCCTTCGACCTTCACCCAAAACGGTATCTCCGATGGAAAGTTATGGGGCTTCTTTGGTTGCCACCGGGCCAAAGCAATCATCCAATAATCAAAATGAAAAGGCTGTAAGCTTAGTACCATTTCAATATCTTCCTCAGTTTGAAAATCAAATTGGAAGAGACCAGCACCCAAGTCGGATCCCACCACTCGATCCTCCAAATTCCAAATCTTCGGAAGCTTCATGAGAAGAGCCGTCATGTCTTGTTCAAGAGGATTCATACAGCGCCCAATCAGCGATCTCGAGTAAGCCTTTATGACTGCTGAATTGTCAAAATGAGGAACAGTAATCCTGAGCCTCTTCCTTGCTCCCTCGCCATCCTTCCCCTCTCCAGAGCATCCAATTAACTGGCCTTGCATCATAGTAATCGGAGTTAGAAAAATCTTTATTACTAGACAAAGAGATGAGGAACCAGAAGTCAATAGAAAACTTTGAGAAGAGGTTGAAAACGTTCTATAGACTTTATATAGAGTCCCACTGCATCTCTCTGCCTCCCCAAATCGTTCACCATTAAGACCAAAATTATCAGTGTCGATACACCAAATCTCCACTACACGGGCCGCATTTGTAAACAAAATCTCTGTGTGTTCCCATGTAAAACCCCATAAAATCCAGACTTGCCATATTGTAATACCAGAGAATCCCGTCGCAGAGGAAGAGAAGGCAATACCTGGATACTGTGAGAATTCTATTATGATGATAAACCGATCCAAAAAATCTTTGGAATTTCCAGAATCGTCCAAACTTGTGTCCAAAGTGTTTCCCTCGGATCCCCTAACGGATCTGCCATAAATTCGAGGCGAATCCCCTCGATTCCTTTCTTGCGTTCCTTCCATGAATCTCTTTTTACCAAACCTCGATATCTTTCCTTCCCAAAGCGTATCCTTATCGTATCTTGAGATGTTCGAAATCTCGATTCCTTTATGAAACCCATATGCCACGGTGACAGCATAGAAACCGGCAGATCCCTTTGTTAATCCCGGATCCCACCACCGGAAAATCATCGGAAGACTATCTCAAAATCTCCATCGCCATCGGAAGACTATTTTCTCTTCTCATTAAAATCGCCATCGCCATCTTATTATAGCAAAGTTAGTTATGTATTTTAAACTGGATTAATTAAGTATTGTCACACACACACACACACACACACACACACACACANCCTTTGTTAATCCCGGATCCCACCACCGGAAAATCATCGGAAGACTATCTCAAAATCTCCATCGCCATCGGAAGACTATTTTCTCTTCTCATTAAAATCGCCATCGCCATCTTATTATAGCAAAGTTAGTTATGTATTTTAAACTGGATTAATTAAGTATTGTCACACACACACACACACACACACACACACACACACACACACATATATATATATATATGTAAATATATATATGAATCGTGGTTCATTTTTTGACATCTTTTGGTTCATTTATTTAGATTCTCTTATTTTTATTTTATATTTATTAAAAATAATTATATTTCCAGTTATAATATTTTGTATTTTTTTTCATATTGAGTAACATTTCATACTTAATGTTTATTTCAACTTCAAATTTTGAAAAAATAAAATATATTTAAAATTATATACTAAAAAGCATCATTCAAGATGTTCTAAATATTAAAATTATATCAAAATAAAAAATAATTTACATCAAAATCAAAAATAAAAATTTATTATTTTATAGAAAACAAAAGCCAAAAATTTAAAAATCAAAATCACCATTCATGTTTTTCCAAAAACTAAAAACTACTACAAAATTCAAATACTAAAAACCAAAAGAAAAAAATATAAATTACTATAATATACTTATTTGACAGTTTATTTTAAAATATTTTTTCTTAGTTAATATAATTTTATTTTTCATTTCAAATTATAACACAAATTATACATTAAAATAATATCATACACTATCAATTTTTTAGTTTTAATAATTTTGATATATTTAATTATTTGTAACTGACTAATTATCATTTTATCTCGTTAACTTTTATGTTTATTTATTAAATTTTGTAATTTTATGTTTGACAGTTTATTTTAAAATATTTTTTTCTTAGTTAATATAATTTATTTTATTTTATGTTAAAATTAGTTAAATTAAAGTTTTATACCGTTAAAATGAATAATATAGAATAATTATTTGCTTACAGTTTTATGTGATTGGTAGTATTTATTTGGTGATTCTATTAGTTAAAAATATTAAGAAATGTATTTGAAGATTAAGTAATGTTAAAATAAAAATAAAATAAAATATAAATTACTATAATATACTTATTTTACATATATAAATTACATGAACCCTTGTATAAACCAAAAAAAAACTTACAATTTTTTTTACAAATTAATTTATTGGAGTTTTTTTTATGTAAATTAATTCCATAATGCATTAAGCAATATTTTGTATCACAAATCTTATAGAAAAGTTAGTTATGTATTTTTAACTGAATTAATTATGTATTGTCATATATATATATATATATATGAATTTTGGTTCATTTTCTGACATCTTTTGGTTTATTTATTTAGATTGTATTATTTTTATTATATATTTATTAAAATAATTATATTTACAGTTGTAATATTTTGTATTTTTTTGTTTTCATATTGAGTAACATTTCATCGTTAATGTTTATTTCAACTTCAAATTTTGAAAAATAAAATATAGTTAAAATTAAATACTTAAAAATACTATAAGTATATGTGTGAAATGTTGTGTATCGGACAGATCAATGTAAGAAATGTAGACAATTAAAGAGTTCTGTCTTAAAAATACTATAAGTATATGTGTGAAATGTTGTGTATCGGACAGATCAATGTAAGAAATGTAGACAATTAAAGAGTTTTGTCTTCTCTCTACAAAAACAAAGACAATTAGAGGGTAAAGAGAGGGAGAATAAGCTTATGTACAATGAAACCAAAGTGAAAAACAGCGAGTGTTTTTTTCTTCTTTTTTTTTGTCACTGAAAAAAAAAAAAAAGCAAAACAAAACAGAGAGTGTTGTATGAAACAAAACAGAGTAATACTGAGAGAAGCTAACCAAGTGAGAAGAAGAGAAATAACGAGGAAGCTGGCTGAGTGTGAAGGCCAAGCCAAAATGTCAAACAGCTTCAGTTTTGTACCCAAGACTGCAGATTTTGGAGTACAAGAGAAACGGCCTAGTGCAACAGGTGAAACGCAACTCACACCGACAAAAAATAACCGTGCGCGATCAGCTATACACAGAAACTGCAGTCAGTTACCCGGCTTTGATGTTTCATAGAATGACACAAGTATGTTTCTTCTGTTAACAGAGGTTAAGGCTCCTTTAACATCACCTTTACAGTTTTATCTTTGGTTACTTGGTGTGTGTTGGTTCTATATATACTACGGAAGTAAAAACATTTCTAAGTTTTCAAACCTTACCAATATTCTTGTTAGAAAAAGAGAAGAGTCTTCTAGTATCTCAGTATCTCTCTGGCTATCTAGGTTATATACAACGTGAGAATTTGATTGATTAAGAAACCTTTTTCTTTTTCGCAGATGAAGTCCTAGCACAATAAGATTGATCGATTTTTGGAACTTTTATTATTCATTAATATTTTACATATGTAAATCAGATGAAGTTTGGTGCAAACAGCCTTACAAACTGTAGTACATAATATTAGCGGATAAGTGCAACCATCAAGAAGCACAAATTATTAAAGTTAACATATGGGACTCTTTTTTCTAGTACAGTGGCGGGTCAGATTCTGCGCCAGCGCCAGGATTCGGACCAGTTGGAGGTTTCACTTCATTATTACCACTACTAGGAATCGAACCTGTAGGAGGTTTCACTTCATCAGAACCATTAGGTCCGTTGGGAGTATTCGGACCCGGAGGTTTCACTTCATCAGAAGGCTTTGATGGACCTGGCGCCCTGCACCATGGTGGTCCGTATCCTTGTGGTCCGCACCTTGGTGGCGGTGGACCGTACATTGGTGGCGGTGGTCCGCACATTGGTGGCGGTGGTCCGCACATTGGTGGTGGTGGTCCGCACCTTGGTGGCGGAGGTCCGCACCTTGGTGGCGGTGGTCCGCACCCTGGTGATCCGAACGGCGGAAAAGGCGGGTAGCGAGGCATGGTTTACGGATTATCTTAGTCCAAATTGAAAATTTGAAATGATGTGTTGTTCTAGTTAGTGGGAGGACTCATGGTTATAAATAAAGAAGTTCATTACGTGTCGAGTCTGTTAGGTAAAGGTTCGTTACTTAGGGGCGGATATGCTAAAACGTGAAAACTGAGGTGTCTGTTTTGGTTGAAGCACAAGTCTGGAATTTCCTGATTCTTTTTTCTTGCTGCAGGTAAGTTTGTGTTGACCAATGAATGCATATGGATTCGAGCACGTGAAGCATCTTAAAGTTTTGGAGGTTAAAATTAGGTTCACATTTTCGTGAAAACTTGCAGATAAATGTTTATTTTTTGCTTAAACTTGCAGGTAAATGTCACGTCATTTTTTCTTTAGATAGACAACAACATTCCCGAGTAGTTTTCTTTCTTTGATCTTTTTAATGAAAAGAGCACAAAAATGAAACATTCGAGAATCGTTTTCTGGTTGTTCTTTAGTTCAACGTACATATCCATAAATGGAATATTTTATATAGAAATTGCATAAATGTTAAGCAAAGAGGGAGTGGTTTTACCATTCAATCCATCTCGTAGCTTTATGGTATCTAGAATGCAAACTCTAACCTAAATTTATATATAGAAATCACTGATTATGGATTCTGTCTCAGAAGAAAAATCTAATAAAAATCTTTTCATAGAACAGGGAGCTTGTGAAGATTTATTAATCAACTTTTATAATTGTTTTGCCCAGGTGTTTGTGTTTATTTATTTTTATTTTTATTTTTTTAGGTGTTTGTGTTTATAATTGTTAAATTTTGTTGGATAACGTTTGGGTTATCCGATATTTATAATGTTATCTTTAGTCTACAAAAACTATGTAATATGTTTATATTTCAGTTAGACACAGTAGGCCTGGGTATTCGGGTCTTTGGGTCGGGTTCGGTTCGGGTCATGTCGGGTCTGGGTCTTTTGGATCTTAGATATTTAGATCTAATAGGGTAATTCAACTTTGTCGGTTCGGGTTCGGTTTGGATCCTACCGGGTCCGGATCAGTTTGACCCAATGGAATAATTATAATTTATCGGTTCGGTCGGGTCGGGTATGGTTTGGGTCCTGTCGGATCTGGTCCAAAAAATACATAAAACACATAAAAAATACCAGAAAATATATAAATACCCAAAAATACCCGAAATTTTACCCAAAATCTGACCCAAAGACATAAAAATATCCAAAATTTTATCTGATTATTCGAATTATATTTTAAAAAATCTAATATTTTACTTTAAACCCAAAATTATACCCGAAAACCCAAATTCGAAACATAAAATAATACTCATAATACCATAAAATATACTAAAACACATGTATTCCCTATATATTAAAAGAGAATCATTTAAAAAGTTACAATCTTAAGTTTGTAATAATTAAAAAGTACCTCAATCCTATGTGGCATAGCTTTTTGTCTTCTATTTCAGTTTAGAAGGATTCTAGAGCATGTAATATAATGTATAGTCTAAAAATTATACTCTCTAGCAATATAATGTTTCGTAGGCTATAGTTGGTCGCATATATCAAATATTTATTGATTCGCATGCTTTACTTAAATAAAACATACAGAATTACCTAATGTGATTAAAATATATATATGATAATTAATGATTTTAAACAATAAAGATTTGATAACAATCTGTATACTTTTTCTCATTTTATTTATTTTTTCTTATTAAAATAAATTACACAATTACATTAATAATATAATAAAAATCTAAATTTTTTTTGTGTATGTTGTATTTCAAATTTTTGAAAATGAGTATAAATTACTAAAACTATTAAAAGTCTCACATAAACTTTTAGGATCAAGGTTTTAATTTTTTTTCTATAATAAAATACAATGATTATAAGACCATATGAAGAAATAATTTTAGTTTATATATATTTCATATCGTTTAAATTAAATTATACATCGTATGAATACATACTTATATTTTGATATTTTCATTGAACATATATTGAAAAGTTAATATTTTAATTTTGAAATATGTCATTGTTTTTTAAAAATGATTATAAATTTTTGAAATTACTAAACATTTCATATTAAAAAAAATTCGTTGGTGTAAAGTTTTGTGACACAAATATAATAATCATAAAATCATATGAGTAGAAACCTCATTTAATAAATATCCATATTAAAAGAGTGCTATATTAATATGTTTATATCATTTAAACTTAATTATATATCATAATACAATATATAAGATTGATTATTTTGATTTATTTACCCTAATTGCGAATAAACAAGAGTGATAGTTAAATTTATATGCATACGCCAATTTATTACATAATAGTAACTGATTTATTAATTATTTAATATATATTTATTATTTTATTATTTTATAATATGCAGAAAAATATAAAATAAATATAAATATAAAATACTTATTGTACATAAAGTGCAGATTTTAACCTACGTATGGATCTCTTTAATTATTTTAAATCTTAAGTATTTTCTAAATCTCAGGTCGAAACAAACAAACGAAATGAGAATAAACTTCAAAATAAATATTTATATCGAGTAATAACCAAAAAAAAAAAACACAACAAGAGAAAAAATTGAAAATAAATAGGATTAACACGTGAACGTAAATTTCTCCAAACCATAATAATTTTAAAATTGTTAAATCAATATATAAAACTGAGTTATTTTTTAGTTTGTTGATTTTTTAAAACTTTAATTTTTAAATCATTATGGTTATGTTAAATCATTACCATAATTAATTTTAAATTGTTTAATTGTATTTGAAAAACTTAAAATATTGTTTTTAAAATTTAAATTAATTTCTTTATAATTTTTTTCAATTTTTTTTGTAAAAATAGAATTTTCTATTATTATTAGACAAATAAATAAATTATATTAAATTAGTTTTGAAACTTTATATATTTTAATGCAAATATTTTACCAATTGTTTCTTAAGAAAGTATTAGGGAACTTGCTAATACTCTACCAATCAAGCCGAGTGACAGTCCGTTCATTTTCCATCACTTGAACACTGAAAAGTGAAAAGATATATGAAATCGGATCCATTAAATTCTAAGCTTTGATCTATAGTTCTAATTACAACTGTTTTTAGTACTACGTATAGATAATTATATAAAAATTTCAAACTTCTAAAATTTCAAATACATATAAAAACAATCGTATATATATATTTTAAATTTATCAATCCTAAAATTTTATATTTTAATTACATTCATTTACCCGCGCAAGGCACATATCTTATCCTAGTATCTTATTATATAAAGAAACATTTTCATCTCTCCTATGATGTCATGTCACGAATTCACTTTCTCCCGTCCTACCACGTGTCTTGAGCTTTCGGTACGCAGCGTTTCATTGAACTCTTTATTTGTGTTTTGGGCTTATTACGTAAAACTTCCATTTCGAACTTACATCTTTGATTCTGATTAACTGGCCTCTGAGCTTTCTGCAATTTATTCCATTTCTTTCATTTCAATGGGTTGATAAGCATAATCTAATAGGTTGCGTCGTTCTCATATTGTCTTCTTTTATTGATCTAGGGTTCGTATTCGTACTCTTAAACTGTGATTAAGTCAAATTCAAATGGACGTTGTTAGACGTTCTCCGTCTCAATTATTTGTCTGGAATCACTGTATCAGTCTCTTTTGTGATATTTTGTTCCTTGGTTCATCTCCTGCGTTACATTATTAAGTGTTCTTCGACGATTCCTCTTTCAATACTTCTCATCTCCCTTACAAACGTGAACTCCGCCTATGAAATGGTATGTGTTCAGTGATCTTCCCATATACATCATCCTACGATATCTTTGTGATATTTGTACTTTTTTGCAGTTTTTGTTTCTTTGCTCGACTGGACGAATTTTTAACTTGGTGTTTGTGGTTACAGTGTTAGAAGAAAGAACAAGCGCTCTTTGGTGGCGTGTTTTCAGGTTTGAATTTCTCGACAACTTTGGTAACCTCCTCTTGATCATATATATTATGAGATCTCCAATTGTGTTATAGTGATTTCGGATTTATTAAATAACTTTCCATGAAATCAACATTTTCACTTTATTCCAATCGCAACCGCAGTCTCATTTTGAATTAATATACGATCGACCTTCCGCATTCTCTGGTCACCTCTCTTGAACTGTGTAGCTAGATTACTAATATGATGGCTATATGATCAATCGCTAATACTAACAGTGAATTAAAACTCTTTTTTTTTATTTGCAGGTTTAACACAATCAGAAAATCAAAACTAACTAAGAGAATATATCCTCAATTTATTAAAAGTTCATATCATATGTGGTGTATTGTTTGTCATCATAATCGTGGTATGTAAACCGTATACTATTTTCATAAGTCAGCCATCAAGTATTTGCTTGAATAGTTAGTTTTGGTACAGAGTCATTTCAGGACTTAACATAGCTTAAGCATGCTAAAGCAAGGACGGTGTCATCTGGTTATCACTTTGTCTTCTAATTCTCCAACAATCGCCAAGATATTTTCTTATGACAACTGTACCTAATTTTTGCTTATTTCTTCCTGGCCAGATTAATACACACCCTAATGCGGAAGATATACTAAGAAATTCGGGTTCTGGTAAGCAGTCAACATATGATGCTCACCTCTGTTTCTTCAAATAAGCAAGCTTTTTCTTAAAAAGCAATTTGCAAAAGCATCCAACACAAAAATTCCATTAACCGGAAGTCTGGGACCAATGAGTTTGGCTTTACAATGAACAATGTTCATACAATGCTTTTTTCATGTTACTTGGCAAGAATCCTTGATTGGCTATCTCACAAGTGACTCTTTTCCTCAGGGATATTAGCCACTGCATCAGATGGAGCATATTAATCAGGTCTGATGATACAGCACTCCTTTTAGCATGATTTTCTGCCTCTTTGTTCCCGGTCCTTTTTTACCTAAGCGATAGCTCACGAAATATGTGTTAAATTGAAATCTTAAAGCAGGTGTTGGCTGAAGAACACCGGTCTATAAAAAGTGAAAACTGTGAGATGGTGTCACTTGAAGGATGCAGG